GAGGTAGAGTGCTAGCCTGGAGCAAAAGAAGCTCAGGGACAGCGCTCAGGCCCTGAGTTTGAGCTCCAGGACTGGCAAAAAGAAAAAGAAAAAAGTGAATGTGTTAGGGTTAGAACATCACCTGATCGCTAGTGAGAACTCACGAGGTGTTTGCTATTATTCTTATTGGCATTATTGCCTGGATGAATCCTTATACCAGCCCTGCCGGATCAGTGCAAGGCTCCCATTCCACCGGTGGGAGGCAGAGGCAGAGAGGTCGAAGCCCAGGCTCAAGTCTGTACAGCGTTGAGGGTGAATGAGCACAGGAGCTAAGCTTGTTGGAAGATTGTGTTCTCAGGCACTGGGCGTGATTGCATCTCCTCTGGTTTGGGATCAGCTTTGGATGTGCACACACCGCGCACACACTCATCTGTGCAGCCCCCAATCCCACAGGAAGACTAGGTGGGGCAGGAGGCTGTCCCTGGGACAGGCTGGGGGTGCCTGTCCCCACATAGGCCTGCCAATCTCCCTGGCATCGCGACCTCTGGGCCTGGGGATTATTGGGCTCAAGAAAAGCACAGGGCTCCACCTAGTGGTGATGAGCGGCACTGCCGCCACCGCCCAAACAATAGCTCAGAGCTCATTGTCTCCTCCCCCCACCCCCATAAGATGTGTCATTATTTCCACCAGTGAGAGCCAGAGCCAGGGCTCAGTGTCGCCCCCTGCAGTCTGGGAGGAGGTGCATCGTAATTTCCATTCCCGGAGTTCAGGAGCTTAGATCTTTCCTTTTTAACATCCAGCAGGGATGCAGACTTGGGGGCTGGAGGGCGTGGCGGCTGTGGGGGGCAGTAAGGTTTTTTTTTTTTTTTTGTCGGTCATGGGGCTTGAACTCTGGGCCTGGGCGCTGTCCCTCCGCTCTTCAGCTCAAGGCGAGCGCTCTACCACTTGAGCCACAGCACCACTTCGGGTTTTCTGGTGGTTTATTGGAGATAGGAGTCTCACGGTCTCTCCTGCCTGGGCTGGCTTTAAACCGCGATCCTCAGATCTCAGCCTCCTGAGTAGCTAGGATTACAGGCGTGAGCCACCAGCGCCCGGCTAGGTTTGTTTTTTTGAAGCTACCTACCTCCCCCAAACTTCCTCACTTCCTGAGCTGCAGATGACACACCAGTCCAGAGCTGTGTCCCTTTCTGCTTACAGGACAGCAAGACCCTGGAGGGCACCTGCTTGCCCCTCCCTCTCCAACGGCACCGGTTCTGCTCGCTGCTGCCCCCCCCAGCCCTCCCTCCCCGCAGCTGCCCCTGCTTTTCAGTGGCCTCCCTGGTGTCCCCCACCTGGGCACTGCAAGTCCTCACCCACTGTGACCTGCCCTGGGCCTGTGCTTCCTTCCTGCCCAGTGAAAGCAGTTGTGTCCCCCTCCCCCCTTCCCCTCCCCCTGGACAAATGTACCTGGAGGTTTTGGAAGAGAAGCAGAGGCCAAGGCTGCCATGTCTGACTCTGATGCCCTCTGCGGTGGACACAGAGGCTGATGAGACCTTGAAACTCCTCAGTCAAATAACATTCATCTCCCACCCTGCCTCCATCTGCCCACCCCCCAACTTTGCTTTTCTGCCTATTATTTAAGGGACCCTCCCTACTTGTGGGGTGCACCACTTTTTCTTCAGCCAGGCTGAAGGAGACTTGGTTGTCCTTCTCAGATTTTCCTCCCAAATAAATGGTGTGAGTCCGCAGAGTTCGTCTTTCTGCTTTTTCTTTTCTTACAGACAGTCCCGGGGCTTCAATTCTGGGCCTCGAGTTCTCATTTCCTCAAGGATGGTGTTCTACTATTTGAGTCACACCTCCACTTCTGGAGGGTTTGTGTGTGTGTGTGGTTAGAGATAAGAATCTCACGGACCTTCACACCTAGGCTGGCTTTGAACCATGATCTTCACACCAAGACTCTCGACTAGTGAGGACTAGTGTGACCCACCAGCACTGGACCAGACCCTCATCTTCATTTTTGGCCCTGGGTGTGGCTGTTATTCCAGTAGTTGGTCTGGGGTATGGCAGGTCTTCTGGGGGGGGGGCTCAGAGCCCAGGACACTGCCCAGTTCCTGGCCCTCCCTCCCCCCCAGCAAAAGGGAAATGCAAAAACAAGATGATGGGGCTGGAGGCATGGTCCGGATGGTTTCCATTGAGTAGAAAGCATCAGATCCTGAGTTCAAGTCCTGGTCTCTGAAGAGAAAAAAATGTGTGTATATATATGTATATATATAGATATGTATGTATGGACACACACACACACATATCTCAATCAAGAATTTTAAGACGTTGACAGAGCACTGAACGCTCTGGGTAAAGATGGCCATACCTCATGGTGGTGAAGAGCCAGGTGGGCCGGCGGGGGCCTCTCAAAGAAGCCAGGATGGGTTGTAAGAGCACAGTGTCTTTCCCTTGCCACTTGGTGACCCTGACGTGTCCTTCCAGGCCAGATATGGGGTGTCTGTGCTGTGGGCCAACAGAGGTCCCCAGGCCTGAGATGGTGGGGCCATAGGCGGGACACCGGGGACAGTCTGGGAGAGAGGTTTGAGGCAGGAGACAGTCCAGACCAGTCACCCTCCTCCCCACGCAATCTCCCCATCTGCCCGCTCACAATCCTGAGGAACCAGGAAAGATTTCAGCACCAGGGCGGGCTGATCCCCCTCCCCTGAGGCAGTGTCAGGAAACTCAACTTTTAACAGCTGACTTCTAACCTTTGCTCCTGCACCCAGGACTTCCTAAACTCCCACCGGGCAGAGCCTACAGCTTAGAACACCTTGCCCAGCAATAGGTAGTTGTCTAAAAATGTATGGTACATCTGGGTGTGATAGCGCATACCTGTAATCCCAGATTCTAGCTCACAATCCCAGATCCTGGGAGGTGATAGGCAGAAGTTAGCCAGGAGCCATTGGGATAAGCAAAGGGAACCTAAAATGAAGGGGCCTTCTATCCTTGAGGGAAGGCCAGGGTTAGGAAGCAGATAAACATCAGTGGTGACTAGGGAGAAAAACACAGGATGTATGAGAAGGAAAACCAGGTTAATTAGACTTTTCCACTCACAAGTGGCCAGCCTGTATTCAGATCTAAATAGCCAGGCCGGGCACCAGTGGCTCAGGCCTGTAATCCTAGCTACTCAGCAGGCTGAGATATGAGGATCATGGTTCAAAGCCAGCCCAGGCAGGAAAGACTCTTATTTCCAATAAACCACTAGAAAAGCGGAAGTGGCACTGTGGCTCAGGTGGTAGAGTGCTTGCCTTGAGTTGAAGAGCACAGGTACAGCACCCAGGCTGAGTTCAAGCCCTACAACCGACCACAAAAAAAAAAAAAAGATCTAAATGGCCCACCTGGATCAGGGCACTAGACATGTTTTTGGGCTCACCTAAAGATTAATGAAAGGCTTTATTCAAGTCTAAGCAGGGAGATCCAGCAATCAACAAAACCAACTCTGAAACAATTTAGCAAACAATTTAGCTTAACCAAGCCGGGTGAGCCATTCCCTGGCTCTCAGAGGGGCCTCACAGACACCCCATTTATACATTGTAACTGCAAGCCTGCTAGCCCGCATACCTTGTAACTAAGAGAACTATGTGCCTGGGGGCTGGTCCTGGCAAAGCAGGTAGCCAATTTTAAAAACTTCTCACTTCTGAAGCCAAATAAGAATCTGCCTATTGAAAGCATATTCTTTGCTGGGCATGCAACTCTTGCCTAGAATCCTAAGTAGGCTGGAGTGTGAGGTTGAGAGGTGGAGAGCAGCCTGAGCTCATCTGGGAGGGTGAGATGGACGGAAGCCGTCTTTGGGGATTTAGGGGGAGATGACGGGGGCAGAACCGGGCCCAATCCTTTCATCTTGTGCCAGTCCTGGGATTTGAACTCAGGACTGTTTGAGCAGTTTTTGCTCAAGGCTAGCACTTTACCACTTGTGCCATAACTCCATTTCTGGCTTTTTGGTGGTTCACTGGAGGTAACAATTTCATGCCAGGTTGGCTTTAAAAGTTTTTAAAGCTCAGCCTCCTGAGCAGCAAGGATTACAGGCATGAGCCACGAGCACCTGGCTGGTTTTTCTAATAAAGCAGTAGATGAGGTAAGAAAGGCCATGCCTACATCTAATAATGCAAAAGTGGCTTAAATGGTTTGACAAGCAGTGGCCCATCTGTGCTAATGTGCAAAATTAGGACCCTGGGCCAGTGAGCTGGGAGTGTGGCTTCACTGTGGGCAGCTTGGTCCTGTCTGGGCCAGGGGGCCAACTTAGCCCTGCGTCCTGTCCAGTACCAGCTGACTGACGGGCTACGCTCTCCCATGGGCACTGGGCCAGCATGCACAGCACCCTGGCGTCTGACCTGTCCCGCCAGCCCGGCTGAGCTACTGATGCTATAGTCCCAACTTGTCAGGGCTGGTGGCTTCACAGGCCCCACGGCCATGGTTCCAGCCGGGGTGCTGGGCCCGGCTCTGTCTGGTGCTCACTCCGTGTTCTCTGGGAGATTTTTATGTCCCTGCTGACCCTCAGACCTACAGCTTGGCCCAGGCTTTTTGCTTCTTCCACTATTGGAGCTTGAACTCAAAGCCTGGGCCCTGTCCCTTGGCTTGTTTGCTCAAGGCTGGTGCTCTACCACTTGGGTCACAGCTCCATTTCCAGCTTTTTGGTTGATGGTTGCTGATTTTCTTGCCTAAGCTGTCTTTGCAAGTAGATTCTCGGCTCTCAGCCTCCTGAGTGGCCAGGATTCCAGGTGTGAGCCGCCAGGGCCTGGAGGGGCACCTGGGGTGGCCATGGCTCAGGGCTGCCCCTCTGGGGCACGGCTGTGTATCTGCATGCATGTGAGCGATGGCGGGAATGGCTGCTGTCCAGGCAGAGGGGAAGAAAGGCGCAGAGGGACGGTTCAAAGATTGGTAGATTTTCTTTTTTCTTCTGGTAAAGAAAAATAATGTGTTTTTTTGAAACAAAACCCAAGTCAAAATCCGGCCCGCCCGCCCGCCCAGGGTGTGCTGCGTCCGGGTGAGCTGAGGCGCTGCCCCGCGGGCTCCGAGCCTGGGGCCGGGCTGCTTAGGCTACAAGTACAATGTAAAAACCAGACACCCCCCACCCTGGAAGCCTCCTGGGCAGCTGGCCTCTGGTCCCAACCCTGCCCTGGCGCCTGCTGCCCACCAGGGCCAGGGCGGGCTGGACACGGCCCCGCAGAGGGGCGAGGTCGGCGCGGTTCCCTTCCCCGCGCGGTTTTTAAAAAATGACATTAGAGCACCCAGAGCTTCAGAGACCGACTCCCAGGCGGGAGCGGGGAGGCACCCTGCGGCCCAGCACCGGCCGGGCCTGGCAAGAGGTGTAGAAAAATAAAATAAACTTTATCCCTGAATGGCAAGTGAAGACCCTCCCCCTGCCCCGCCCCCACCGCGTCCCCAGTGGGGAGACGCGAGCATCTGACAGAATGGACAGACTGACAGACGGTGGGGCGGCGGGTGCGAGGCCTCATACCCTGCAGCACAGGCAGGGTGGTGCGTGCCAAGATCCCCTCTTCCTGCACATGGGGGCCAAACACAGGGGCCAGCGGTGGTACTGGTCGGGTGGGCCGATGGGGGAGGGGTCAGAGGTCATGTAAAGGGAGCCGGGGGCCCTCAGGGGTGGGGAGGGTTCCAGATGATCTGAGGGGTCAAGCCAGGCCTCTGAGGGGCAGCGCGGGGGAGGGGGAGACAGCCTGGGGGCTGCTTCACCAAGTCACAAAATAGGGGTACACAGAGCAGGAGTGTGAGGGAGAGGGAGGGCGGGGCTCACCACGGTCCTCCCCACCCTGGAGCCCCAGGAGCTAGAGGGGCTGGAACGGGGGCGAGGCAGGCTGACCGTCCCTCCCTTCCCGCCTCCCCAGGCATCAAGGTGGCCCAAGTGTGGGCAAGTCTGGTAGGTGGCGGGCCGGGCTCAGTTCTCAGTTCTCAGCAGTGCGCCCTCTCCTGGCCGATGTGGGGTGAGGGCCGCGGGTCCGGCGGCCTCTCTGGGATTCCTGGTGTCAGGGTCAGAGTCAGCACCAAACACAACCCACATCCACCACGGAGGTGGTGGGTGAAGCAGGCGTCCTGGGGACTGGAACTGGCGTCCACGAGGTGGAGGACTGCGGAGTCGGGTGCCGGCGCAGGCCCTGGCACAGGTCGGCACGGTGGGGGCGGCGGGCCCGGCCTGGCTGTCAGATGGCCGGGTCAGCGCAGGCTCTGGTACAGGTAGGCTGAGGTGAAGAGCGCATTGGCAGCCAAGCTCACAGCCAGGAGGCCGCGGACCAGGGAGGGTCCACAACGCCCTGGAGGACAGGAGACCTGGTCAGAACTGGTGTGGGCAGGGTGGTACCCCAATCCCCAAAGATGCAACCGGGGGCCTCAGGCCTCCCAGTGTTCCCAGGCATGAGGACCGGATGACTTCCTGTAAGATGCACCTGCCCCACAGGCCGGGCCAGGCCGCCCCGTGCCCGCACCTGGCAGAGGGTCACTGGGACATTCACCTTACAGGCAAGGAAATGGGGGTCCGAGGAGGGGAGCTAAAGAGCAGTGACACAGCCCCAGCCCCTTTCCCCTGGTGTTCTTCAGGGACAGCCCCGCTTGCCGGCCTGTCGCCTTGGTCAATGCTGGGCCAAGGGAGGCACGGGGTTCCCCTGCCTGCTTCCTAGCCGGGCCTGGGGAGGGGCGGCTCTGCACCCTGGTGCAGGGCAAAGCCCAGTGACCTGGCCACTGCCCCCCGGGCTGTACCGGCTAGCTCGGTGCTGGCAGCCTGCAGACTGCTCTGTCTGGCACAGCAGCCTTGGAGACTCGTGGCCATTGAAATGCGCTACACTGAAGTGTGGTTAGTGGAGTGACTTAATTCTATAATTTAGTTAAATGCAAACAGCCAGCCTTAGCCCGGCGCTGGTGGCTCGCACCTGTCATCCTAGCTACTCGGGAGGCTGAGATCTGAGGATCATGGTTCAAAGCCAGCCTGGCCAAGAAAAGTCCATGAGACTCTGATCTCCAATGAGCCACCAGAAAACTGGAAGTGGAGCTGTGGCTCAAGTGGTAGAGCACTCGTCTTGAGCTGAAGAGTTCAGGGACAGAGCCCAGGCCCACAGTTCAAGAGCAACAGTTGACAAAAGACAAACAAAACAAAAACCCAGCCACCCATGGCCAGAGAGTGGACCCGTCCTGGGGTGGCCCAGAAGGTACTGCGAGGACTCACCATTGGTCCATCTGAAAAAAGCTCTAGAAGATTCTTTTTCATTCTGGACCCTAGGGATCTAAGGCCAGGCTCTGAGCCCTCCCACGCCCTCTGTTCTGGGGGTCCCCACTCCACCGACCTCTCCAGGTGGCAGCCTCCTCACAGCACCCTCGGGTCGTGGTGTCCACCACACACGTGGATGACTGGGAGGAGTCGTCTTCCTTTTTGATGGAGCGGCTGCTACAGGCACCGTCTCTGGCCAGCACCGACCTCATGTCTGCAGAGAGAAAGGCCTGCAAGTCAGGGGCTCATCTCGCCTCCTGAGCCCCACGCGCAGCCCCGGGACACAGCCTCAGCCGCTCACCAAGCCTGGGCGGTGGGAGGCCAGGTCCTGAGTGGGCCCTAGCTGTGTAGCTGCTGGGAGATACTGGTTCTAGATCAGAAACAGGAAATGAATGCCAAAAGGTACCGAGGCGGGAAGTGGACGGGGCAGTGGGGCGGGCCAGGGAGTGGAAGCTTGCTTTTTGCCTGGCCTGCATTCAGCTCCGTGACCAGACCTTTCAAAATTATCAGAGAAATAAAAAATTCACATGTCCAGCTGAAAGTTTTAGGGTTTCTTTTGTGTGTGTGCCAGTCCTGGGACTTGCCTAGGTGCTATCCCCAAGCTTCTTGCTCAAGGCTAGTGCTCTGCCACTTGAGCCACAGCGCCACTTCCAGCTTTTCAGGTAGTTCAGTGGAGATCAGAGTATCACAGACTTTACTCCAAGACTAGTTTTGAACCGTGATCCTCAGATTTCAGCTTCCTAAGTAGCAAAGATTATAGACATGAGCCATGAACGCCCAGAGTTCCTTTTCTTTAGACAAGATCTTGCTACAAAGCCAGCACGGCCTCAAACTCATGATCTTGCACGTCAGCCTCTGTAGAGCTGGGATTAAAGCAAATTCTAGACTGTTAACTTTTTTGTGTTCATACTGGGGCTTGAACTCAGGGCCCACTCTTCTTGGCATTTTCCACCTGTTTTTTTTTCCCCCACTCTACCAGCTGAGCCACACCTCCACTTCTAGCCTTTTGCTAGTTAATTCAAGATAACGGTTTCTCAGATATGTTTGCCCAGGCTGGCTCTGAGCGTGATCCTCCGCTCTCAGCCTCCTGAGTAGCCAGGATTGTAAGTGTGAGCCATGGCGCCGAGAGTACAATTAAAAAATGTTTTAAATGTTTTGGAGAAAGAATATAAGAAAAAAAAACTAAGCAGACCACAGTCTGGCAGTGTGCAATAGGTTTTCTGTTTTGGTTTGGTTTGTTTTTGTTGGTCATGGGGCTTGAACTCTGGGGCTTGGGTGCTGTCCCTCAGCTCTTCAGCTCAAGGCTAGTGCTGTACCACTCGAGCCACTTCTGGTTTTCTGGTGGTTAATTGGAGGTAAGTCTCAAGGACTTTCCTGCCCAGGCTGGCTTTGAACCGTGATCCTCAGATGACAGGCGTGAGCCACCAGCATCCGGCTGCAATAGGTTTTTGCTGAGTCCCAGAGAATAAAGAGCCTCAAAAGTCAACTGCTAAATAAAGGACTATATAAAGGCAGCCAGTAGCTCTAGGTCCAAGCCCGTGAGTACGGACGCTCCCCTGGCCCCTGGAGGGAGGGGGATCTGGTAGTCACCCACAGCGTGCTTGGCCCACACGTACCCACAGCGTGCTTGGCCCCCCTGCACATACCCACAGCGTGCTTGGCCCCACACGCACCCACAGCGTGCTTGGCCCCACACGTACCCACGGCGTGCTTGGCCCCCCTGCACATACCCACAGCGTGCTTGGCCCCACACGCACCCACAGCGTGCTTGGCCCCACACGTACCCACACGCACCTACAGCGTGCTTGGCCCTACATGCACCCACAGCGTGCTTGGCCCCACACGTATCCACACGCACCCACAGCGTGCTTGGCCCCACACGTACCCGCACGCACCCACAGCGTGCTTGGCCCCACACGTACCCACAGCGTGCTTGGCCCCACACGTATCCACACGCACCCACAGCGTGCTTGGCCCCACACGCACCCACAGCGTGCTTGGCCCCACACGCACCCACGGCGTGCTTGGCCCCACACGCACCCACAGCGTGCTTGGCCCCACACGCACCCACACGCACCCACAGCGTGCTTGGCCCCACATGTATCCACACGCACCCACAGCGTGCTTGGCCCCACACGCACCCACGGCGTGCTTGGCCCCACACGCACCCACGGCGTGCTTGGCCCCACACGCACCCACGGCGTGCTTGGCCCCACACGCACCCACACGCACCCACAGCGTGCTTGGCCCCACACGTACCCACGGCGTGCTTGGCCCCACACGTATCCACACGCACCCACAGCGTGCTTGGCCCCACACGCACCCACAGCGTGCTTGGCCCCACACGCACCCACAGTGCGCTTGGCCCCACACGCACCCACAGCGTGCTTGGCCCCACACGTATCCATAGCGTGCTTGGCCCCACACATACCCACAGCGCGCTTGGTGTCCCGCATGGGCAGCCCGGGCGGCACCTGAGGAGGCTCGATGGTGAAGAGGCTGCCACTGGGTGGCGAGGGTTCTTCCGAGCTGCTGGGGGTGTGGGGGGCCTCTCCTGTGGGAGATGGGAACAGCAACAGCTTCTGCCCCTTCAGGTTGAGCCGGGCGGGGCTGATGAGAGGCCTGCGGTGCCGCAGGGAGCCGGAGCTGGAGTCCACGGAGCTGGCCACGGAAGGCGCGGGGGAGGGGAGAGGGGAGGAGGGGAGGCTCCCAGACAGCAAGAAGTAATCTGCAGAGGGAGGACAACAGAACCAGCCATGCCACTGTGCCTGGGGGGATGTGCCGTTGTCATGGTGATGCCTGCCTCCTGCCCAGTTGGTCCTGAGGCTTCTCACTCCTGACCCAGGAAGAAAAGAGGCGGCAGACGGGGCAGTGGAGGCCTGCTGGACACCCCACCAGGCACCAAGGAGGGGGACAGAGGTCACACAGACTTAGACACAAGCTGCACAGCTCTCTCGCTGAGCATGGGGGATGGAGTCTGGGGTCCCCACTTTACACCAGAGGAAACTGAGGCATAGGTATGTTCATCTCTTGCCTAGGGCTGAGGTTTGACTACAGAGTCAGGCTTGAACACTATTCTAGAAACTCTGGGCCTTGCCCCCCTGGCCAAGCAGCTTTCTGGTCCCACTTGCTAGCTTTTGTTGTCCTTACCTGAAAGGGGAACCTCTCTGTGTGGAGACACCTGAGATGGGGGGCGGCTGCCGCTGAACAAGTACCCTGAGTCTGGCAGAGAGGGAAGCACAGCACGGGTTAGGCCTGAGGGCTGTGAGCCACCACGGCCTCTAATCTCCAACCCCCCGCCCCAGCCCCAGCCCCACGTTCTGCCAAAACCTAATCTGTGTGCTCTCACCAACACTGGTTCCTGAGATACATGGAGCACATGGCCATTTGGTAAAGAAACTGGAACCCTAGTGGATCATAGCAAGTCAGCAGCCGGTCCAGGTCTAAACCTGGTGTTCTGCATTTTTTTTGTTTGTTGTGGGGCTTGAACTCAGGGCTTAGGTGCTGTCCCTGAGCTGTTTTGCGCAAAGCTAGGACTCTACCACTTCAGGCCACAACTCTACTTCCAGTTTTCTGGTGGTTAATTGAGGCTAACTGGAGAATCTCACAGACTCTGCACTCCAGGCTGGCTTTGAACTGCAATCCTCAGATCTCAGGCTCATGAGTAGCTAGGATCACAGGTATGAGCCACCAGCACCTGGCTTCAATGTCTTTCTCTTCACACCAGCCTCCACCTTGGCCATCAACAGCTCTGGTCCCAAGAGTTGAGAGTAGAGCTTAGTGGTAGAGTGCTTGCCTAGCATGCATGAAGCTCTCGGTTCGATTCCTCGGTATTCCATACACAGAGAAAGCTGGAAGTGGAGCTGTAGCTCAAGTGGTAGAGCACTAGCCTTGATCGAAAGCAGCTCAGGAACAGAGCCCAGGCCCTGAGTCCCAGCCCCAGGACTTGCAAAGGTCTCAGCCCAGCAGAGGCCGCCTCCACAGGAGACGCTCTAGCCAGTCTTTGATACTTCCCCATCCCGTCCTCACCAGAGGCTACCAAGGCCCGAGCAGATGGCTCCTACCTGTTCGGGTCAGAGAGGGAATGGTTCCCAGCGAGAGGGCCCGGCTGAGCCGGCCTGGCAGTGAGGAGGGGGAGGCCCGGCGGGGAGACCGGAACAGCTGCTGGCCGGCCAGCGGCAGGAAGCCGGGCGGGGTGGGGATGAACAGGGACGGCGAGGAACCTGTGGTGCTTGAGTAAGACACAGCCAGGCGGGGACTGGAGGGGAAGAGGCCAGCGGAGTCTCCTGGGAAGCACCTGCAAGAGCCCATGGGGCATGGAGAGAGGAAGAGGGTGAGTGCGGAAGGTTCTGGAAGCAGTTTCTGCACAGTGGGGCCCCTTCCTTCCCCAGGTGTGAGCCGGGCCTCAGTGGGGGTCGCAGGGGGGTGGGGGGAGGGGCGTGCATTAGTTGAAGCAGAAAAGCAGTCATCCATTCTCCCCGTTAGGAGCGGGTGCTGGAGGCGCGGCGCGACCCACCGCACCTGCATGCCCCTCACGCGCACAGCAAACCACTTCCACTCTGTGTCTCAGCATTAAAGTGACACTGCCACCTCTGCCACCCCTCCTCACCCCGAAGCCAGCACACCCAGTGTCCCATGCTGTACACGCTAAGCTTAGTGGACTCGGGCTTTGTCTGGAAACTTCTTGTTGCATGTCCAGAATCTTCCAACCAAGCTGCTGAGCTCAGAACTCCCCGGCTCTCCCAAGCTAGCTGGGACTTGAGGAGGCCGCAGTGGAGCTCTGAGGCTCCCCCAGTGCTGTGTCTCGGAACACAGTCACCAGCTCTCTGGTCTTGGATAACTTATCTCAAGCCCCCTTCAGTGTACAGATGGGGAGGTGGCCGACAGGGCTACCACGGGTACACACCAAACTCTACACTTAGATAGGACCCCGACGACCGCAAGGATGCCCGAAGACAGAAGGGGACAGTGTCGCTTTAACTTGAGAATGGTACAAATCACACAACTAGGACCCAATGACCCCAGGCCACAATACCAACCATGCTTCCAATTAAGGCACCTGATTACAGAGGGGCAGAGGGGCAGAGGCAGTTAATGCATTAGTCTGCCATCTGGAAGGAGTTTCTGGCGTCCAGCCTTACCTCGGTCCCAAGGGACACATGAGCCCAGCAGACCAAAGTGCAGACAGATGGGCGGGCAGGCTCAGGCCCCATGGCGTGAGATGGGGGGAAGACACCCCTGCTGTGAAGGCCAAGGGCTGGGAGGGGAGGACCGCTAGCCTCCCATGCACCACGGCGTCCCAACGCCATCTCCCACCCAGTCTTATAAGGAAGGAATGTAGCCAGCTGTTCACTTCGAAGGGAACCACTGGGTCATTCCCATTTCTTGCAAAGAGCTGGCTCAACTGGACTTCAGAACCAAAGGCAGGCCCAGGGTTTGGGCGACATGGAAGTCAAGGCAGAGCAAAGTGAAGAGAGGGGCCTGGACGCACACTGGCTTTGACTCTGGCCCGCCTTTCAAGCCTGTCTGATGCCCACCACCCCCATCAGACAGGGACGATTCTCCTTCTATCTAAAGGAAAAGGCGGCCAGGTGCGGGAGCGCACGCCTGTGATCCCATCTCCTCAGGAGGCTGAGATCTGAGAATCTTGTTTCAAAGCCAGCCTGGGCAGGAAAGTCTGTGAGCCTCTTCTCTCCAATTAACCAGCAAAAAACCGGAAGTAGGTGTGGCCTAAGTGGCAGAGCTCCAACCCTGAGCGGAAAAGACAAGTGAGGGAGGCCTGAGTAGAAGCTGCACTACTGGCAAACACACATACATGGGGGGGGGGTGGAGTTTATGTTCTCCTTTTAGGATTGCAATACCACTGGGGAGCGAGGTCGGGCGGGGAAGGACTTTCAGGCACTGCAGGGTGCAGCTGGAACCAGGAAGCCTCCTGCTTGATCACGGGTGAGCCCCTATGGGAGGAAAGTGGGTCCAGGGGGAGCAGCCTGAAAGCGGCAGGTGTGGGCCTTGGAGCAGCGCAAGCTCAGGCCCTTCCAGCAGGTGGCAGCAGGACTCTGCGCTGGGCCTCCGGTCAGGCCAGGAGCCAGCCAATAGCCACCCTAGAGCAGGCGGTGGCCCCAAGGACAGGCGAGCATTTCTGGAAGCGCGAGGAGAGGGTCCTGGCAGGGCCATGGATTTCAGAGGCAGCACCGGAAGCAACGGCAGGCTCTGGGCAGCACATCTCCACTTCCCCAGCTTCTGCTCAGACCCAAGGCCACCCTGGGGTCCAATCTGAGATAATCCGTATGTCTGGCCCAGGAGGCTGTTCCCAATCTTGGTGCCACTAAAAACGCTGGCAGGTGAGGTCCCTGGAGGCCTGCCCTCTTGGGCTGTGATGTGTAGAGCCCTAGGCGGGAGCTGTGCGGGGGCTCAGCCTGGCTCTGGCTGTTACAGCACCCCCAGCGCTGCCGAGAGCTGCCAAGGTACCAAGGTTTTAGTTGAGGCCCAGGGGCCAAGTCTGCGTCCTCAGAACCGCCTTGGCCAGTGACTGCGGAGAGAGCCCGACACCCCCCGCGGGGGCCGAGTGTTCTCAGCCGCCTTACCGAGGTGGGAAGGGGGCGATGCGATGTGGGAAAGATGAGGAGAGGGACCCTGAGATGACCACCTCTAGCCCACGCGTGCTCAACCCCACTCAGACTTCGGTGCACATGCTAGCACCCCAAACAAAGCTCCCTCCCACCCTCCTGGTCCTGACCAAGAAGCCCTTCTCAAGAAACGTGGAAGAAAAGAGAAAAAAGACGTGATACCTGAAGCCCCCCGGAAAAAGCAGAGCCCGGAAGGCATTTATTGAAAACACAGCATTCAAAACATGATGTCTAGGGCCAGTGTGGTTACAGCGATCAGGGGTCTACACAGTCATCCACAGTTCTACTACAAGAGACAGTCGAGACTCGGCGGCTGCAGACACGGGGCAGGCCCCTTCCCCGCGGGACAGGCATGGCTGGCTGGGGGATGGAGGTGGTCCTGGAGGTGGGTCTGGGATGAGGACCCCCAAATATCCAGAGGGTGAAACAGGGCTGACTCCCTATCTCAAGGATGGCCACCCTGTACCTGGGATGAACCTGTGCTCCCCAGGGACTGACGACTGTCCCCAGTCCATGAGCCACAACCCATAGTTGCTAGATGCCCTCAAAGGAACAAAACTCTTAAGGGGCAGACTAATGTTTAAAAATAAGGTCACACAAAACTCTAAAAAGGCCAGGAATCCCCACCGTATAGATCTCTCCATACCCACCAGAGCCAGAGTGATGCTGAGCAGGAGATCCTGGCCAGCCAGAGCTGGCTCTGCTTAGCATAAATAATTCACACACACACATACACACACACACCCCTAAAAAATGCCAAGAACACAACGATTAGCATTGCACTGTCAGTCTCCTTGAGAAGAGAACATCACGACTCAGGTGAGAGTATGCCCACCAGCAGACCTGGCACCTGCTACCTCCTTTTCCCTCTTAGGTCATTTCTTGGGGTAAAAGGTCAGGCAGAGGTGCCCCCAGACCCCCAGGCAGTTGCAGCTCATTCACCCCTCACTGCTGAGCCAGCAGGACCTTGTCCTCACCTATCTTTGGAGGGGCTCTCCACTTCATGTTCTGCCTGGACCCCACAACACTGAGCCCTGCAAGGCTGAGGCCTTGTCTAAAGAAGTCACACAGCTCACTGGGCAGAGGCTGGTTTGACAATCTAACCCCCCCCCTCCCCCACTATCTCACAGGAGGCCGGCTGACCTTTTGGACTCTCAAACACAGCAGGGCAGGGTGTGACCAGCCACTTCACACCTGCCCCTCTACCTGTCACACCTGGGCAGCTGGTGTTCCTTTGCTGGGTATGACCTCACACACACATAACCTGCTTTCTCCCTCTTGGGAGGATACTGAGGCGAAAGCTCAGGCCAGACCAGGTCACACTTGGCCCATGCTGAGGGGCACGGGAAGGACATGACCTGCAGGCAGGGCATAACTCACACAGGGACCGTCAGAGGGGATCGTGCACCCCAGCTGGTCTTGAACTGCTCCCAGGTGAGCTTGTCCTCTACATGCGACATCCCCCTAATCCTAAGCTCATCCCACAGCCTCTGAGCACCCTGGGGCCTGGAGGCCCTGGGGCCTGTCACTCCGCATGGCTAACCAGAGCTGGAACAGCTGGGTCTCACCAGGGCCACAGCCGGAGAGGGCCAGCTCTTCCCTAGTGGTAGTGACCTGTCGGGGGTGGCACCCGTGTCAGAGGGGAGGCAAGCTGAGGCCATGTGACGGAGAGGGACAAATGACAATGAACTGGTATCACCGAGGCCTGAGTGCCTCACCTGAGCAGAATCTGGGTCATCTGAGCTATTCCCAGGCACACGGGGGCAGGGCCAGGACAGCCCTCAAGTCCTGCCCTTGCTGGCTAGGGAAAGGTGGCTAGGGACCAAGCACAAAACCCCCAGGTCCGAGGGCATAAGGGAGTGCCCAGCTGCCAGGGTAAGGTGTAAGGGGAGGCCTTGGAAGTCCATCAGGCTTGCTGGAGGAGAGATGTCCCCAGCGGGGCCACCTCCACCGTTTGGAACTGAGGGATCAGGCGGCCAGGAACCTGCTGTTGGGCTCCAAGCAGGGGCAGAGCAGGTGAGAGGAACTATGTGGGATGAGGGTCGGTGCTATTCTGGCCCTTGCTCACCCTGCTGAGCAGGACTGCCAATGCCAAGCAGCCTGAATGTCAGGCCAGGTGACAGTGGCTCACACCCTCCCCCTCCCTCTGTGGTGCCAGAACCAGCCAAGAGCTGTGGCCAAGACAGGGAGCCTTGAGCCAGTGGAGAGCCAGGGTACTGCCTCCATAGTCCCAGGCCTGCCAGGTGGGCTGTCTCAGGCCAGAGGCGGCAGCAGTGGCAAGCAGCTACAGGTCACTAGGGCACTAGGGGAGCACCTCAGGCTGGAGGCGGGGGGAGCAGTTTGGGGGTACTGGGAAAGGCAAGGAGGGCAGTGGAGGAGCTGGGCCAGAACCCAGAGCTTGAGGCTGAGGGGTGGGTGTGAGGCAGGTTAAAGAGACAAAACCAGTAAGTGCCTGTTCCAGG